CAGAAGTTTCTAAACATCCTGTCTACTATTAGTATAACCATATTTTTTAGACGAATATAGAGCTGGCTTAGTTTCACTTACTTTCTTCATGCGGCCTTCGTCGTGCCTAACGCGCGACACTTGGCGGGCAGGGGCCTCGGTGGTGGTGGCTGCGGGGTTGGAGGAGGGAGCGGCAGCCGGGTTGGTGATGGTGATGGTGGTGGAGGGAGCGGTGGCGGCGGTGGTGGTGGTGGGGAGAAGAGGGGGGGGGGTGGTCCTTCGCCGGCGCCTAATCAAACGTTAGTGTCACGTCAGGTTATTGTCAGTGGGTCACAACTTACAGAATATCTGCGCCGGCCCAGGCATATGGCCCGAAGCAGAGGCCTACAAGCGCGATCAACGCGCCAAGCACCGCAGCGGCCCCATATGGGCCAACCCGCTCCAGGAGGAGCGGGAGGGACGTGGCCAGCGTCGCCGCTGGGCCGGCCTCAGGGGCAGCAGTAGAAGTGGTGGTGGTGGTGGTGGTGGTGGCAGTGGTGGTGGCAGTGGTGGTTGCAGTGGTGGTGGCAGTGGTGGTGGCAGTGGTGGTGGCAGTGGTGGTGATGGTGGTGATGGTGGTGAGGGTGGCTGCCATTGCGCTGCTCATGCTGCTGGTGATGCTGGTGTTGTTGCTGCTGCTGGTGCTGTTGCTGGTGATGCTGGTGTTGTAGTCCATGTTGCTGTGTTTGTTGCTGTTGCTGTTACTGTTGCTGTTGCTGTTGCTGTGTGGCTGCTGGTACTACTGTCTGTTGCTCGGTCGCGGGAGGAGAAGAGGAAGAAGTCCAGCGTCGTGTTTCCGATGCCTTAAGAAGACAGACACGGTCGACCGTCACGGGGTTCTGCGTTGCTCCTTCGATTCTGCCGCTTCTCACCACCTTCGTCCCTTCTGGGACTGGAGGGAATACACCCCCCCCCTTGCCCCCCCTGAAGACTGCCCAAGTGAATATATCAGACATGCAGACTCGGATGCAGCAAGCTATGGCATGTGCCTATATCTATACCCTAGGAGGATTCAGGAGAGAACCCTGAACTAGTCTACATGTATCAGCTATCTGTGAATTCCGGGGAAGCAAGATCGGTCCCAATCTTGAAGATGAGGACAGCCTTGCCTGCATCTTCGGGGTACTTTTCCAGGTATCTTCCACGAGCAAGAGGCTAGGCCATGGTATTCGGGAGTGCCATAGAACTCTGCCCCATTCCAAGAGTTACCTGCACGAGGACGGGTGACTCAACCTCTACCAACAAGAGTAGTCAGTTGGATAACGAACTAAGAAGAGAGAGAAGACGTAGCCCACGGACTTCCGTGCCTGAGCGCAGTATGCAAAGCCTCAATGGCTGTTCTTGGGAACATGTAATAGAGCCTATATCTTTGCTTGCAAGCTGGGTCATGCTTTGATGCTTGCCTGATTATATATGTTAGACTGTTGTTGTGTGCTCTTGTGCGCGAGAGCTAGACTCGGCATCCCCTTCTGTGGGTTGCATTTATCTATGTCTTCTGTGCTGTGATTCTCCCTCGGAGTTAACCAACTAGTTAAGCTTCTCCTGTCACTTTTCCTTTGAATGGTCAACTATCGAGTACGTAGTAGTAAGTTGGTTGGTGAACGAATTCACAGAAGCTGCCCTGGTTTCAGTATACTCTGGGTCTGGTTAGGGACACGCTCAGGGCGCTTAACTAACTACTCGTGGCTACATTTCCTGTATCCACTTCTAACAACAAGCTAACTATGTCCTTAGAAATACGCCCAAATATCATCTCTGGGATCTACGAAAGTAAAAAGAAGAGCGGGTTGGCTGCTTTTCTCTGGAGTTTTCTGTAGTAAAAATATAGCAATTTATTATTTTTCTATTACCAAAAAGAAAAAGAAAGTGTCAATGATATAACGACTCTCTCTGCAGCTAATCAAGAACCTCCCATTTTGGCCTGACGGCCGTGTCGGTCCTCCTACCGTATCTAGTATTAGTATACCACATTTTTAGATGAATATAAAGCTGGCTTAGTTTTACTTACATCTTCTGTCTCTTCTGTCTTGCCACCACCCTCGAGAACTTTTTGGAGTTTCAGAAATATATTGGTTGGCATGGTGGTGCCGGAGGAGGCCAGAGCGTCGCTGATGGTGGAGGGCCGTGGGCGGACGGAGTTCGAAATATGACGGCTCCAACGACGGCCAGAAAACCGGTCGTCGGCGAGCCGACGCCTAATCAAACGTTAGTGTCATGTCAGGTTATTGTCAGTGGATTACAACTTACATGTAGTATGCGCCGGCGCGGGCCCGTGGCCCAAAAAAAAGCCCCATACGGCGATTATTACGCCGCACACCACAGCGGCCCCAATTGGTTCAACCCCTCCCCCCTCCCGTGGGAGGGGGAAGAAACGTGGCCAGCGTCGCCGGTGGGCCGGCCCCGAGGGCAGCAGTGACAGTGACGGTAGTGGTGGGGGCGATGATGGTGGCGGCCATGGTGCTGCTCATGCTGCTGTTGCTCATAGTGTTGCTATTGTATTCGCTGTTGCTGTGGCTGTGGCTAGCAGCTCGGCTAAAAAGAAAGTGTCAATGATATAGCGACTCTCTCTGCAGCTAATCAAGAATATCCCATCTTGGCCCGACGACCGTGTCGGTCCTCCTACCGTATCTGGTATTAGTATAACCATATATTTTTAGACGAGTATAGAGCTGGCTTAGTTTTACTTACATTATTTTGACCTACCTCCTAGACAAGTCTATCATCAGCGGCCTCGGGTGCGGGAGCGGGGGCGGGGATAGCCTCGGTGGCGGTGGTGGTGGTTGCGGGAGCGGAGGAGGATGGAGTCCTGCGGTAGGTGCGCCGGTTAGCCCAGCTACCTACTGGCCGGCGCCTAATCAAATGTTAGTGTCACGTCAGGTTATTGTCAGCGGGTCACAACTTACAGAATATCTGCGCCGGCCTGGGCATACGGCCCAAATCAACATCCTAACAGCGCGATTATCGCGCCGCACATCACGGCGGCCTAGGAAGAGGGGAAGGGACGTGGCCAGCGTTGCCGCTTGGTCGGGCCGGGAGCAGAGCTTTCGAATATATATCCATTTGTATTGCTGATGCTGCGGCAGATAATGTTGTTTGTTGTAGCTGTGATGTTGTTCCTGTGATGTTGTTCCTGCTGCTTGGACGATGGAGGAAAGAAGAGAAGGAGGCAGTGCGCGTTTCCGCCGCTTAAGAAGGCAGTGCGCCCGGGCGTTTGGCAGTCACGGGGTCGCGGGCAGGAAGTGAGAAACAAACGCCTTAACTAGCGATGCCGGCCTCTTAGTTATATCGAGCCACGGACAGTAGATATCCAGTCCTTGACGGTCCTGTCACTCCCGGACATGCGTAATCGAGAATAGGTAACTAAGCTCGTGTGTGAGGCTTTCAGGGGTATCTCAGGGGTATATCAGGATATAAAATGGTAGAGTTGAGGCCCAGCGCCACCTAACGCGAGAAAGTGGATTGATGAAGGAGTTAGAAGAGAAGTTAGGAAATAGTCCTGCGCAGAAGCCTTTTATATATTTCCCTTGGGCCTAGTTAACTAAGTGAATCGTTTTGGTAAATTCACGGCCCTGCGGTTGCTTCGCCACTCCTTCGTTGGATTTCTTTCGAGACGGTGAATAACTAGTTAAGTACCAGAAAGGAGGATGATGATGTTAAGCTCTATCGAATGTGCGAGGCTTTAACTAAGCGAGATGTAGCTGACCATTACAAAAACTGACACTTAAGTACTACAATAATACATATGAACGGCCTCGAGCATTAATAACGAAATGTAGCCAATCATACACTTCATTGGATAACTAGCTAAGGTTGGATGAGCGTTTAAGCAACCAATCAACTCCGCAGATGTCTTATGCTTTGCAGAAAGTGATGCTTATTGGTGGAGTAACTAAGTGAGCATAAATTTACAATAGATATTATTGACCAATAGAAATACCTCATTAACTAATGGCTAATCAAAGAAAAAGGGTGCATCGACTACGACGTTCTTCCTTGCATGGCCTTGGCTCTTCTGGAGTTCGCAATAACTAATAATGAGCAACAATAATGTCAACGCACGCCTCTATTGCAAAGTTGGGTCAGTCCGTCAGTAGCTTGTCAAGTTCATCGCCTTCTCCACTCCTGAAAACTGGGCCAGATCATCATCAACGCTACCAGCACGTACACCGTCACACGGCAGTTCTTCATATTCAAACCCAAAGTTTCTCGGGGTCACGATGGATATGAACTGGATATCCTAACAAAATACCACGGCTTTCTCGGGCAATACCTTTCTTCATACTCTGGCCTTGTTGACAGGGAATGGGCTTCTGCGCCACCTGACCAATTGAAGCCTTTCCAGTATGCTAGTCGAAGGGAGATTTTGCCGGAGGACAAGGAGTAGTTTATTTTGAAGGTTACGAAGATGGACCCCAGGGATAGGCTGTCAGCAAAAGCGCTTCTCGAAGACTACAGTGGCCAACAACATCGATCGTGGGCTAACTAGTTCTACTGCCAATTCTATATAAGTTGCCTGATATTAAGGTCAGGGATAACTAATTAGTTACCAAGAGGCTGCCGTTAATGCCAAGGAGCGTGCCGAATGAAAACTTCCGCTAACTTAGGCTTGTCTCAGGTTACAATTCTTCCCGCATTAGCTTGAATGTGCTGTCGGCCATCTGCTTAATTTTTCACTTCACAATGTTGACAGAAAAACACCAAACCGCCATCTTAGCTATATGTTTATATCCAACTTGCGGACTGGTTGCTTTTCCACGCCATTGCCCTTCCTGTTACGCTTCTCGAGAGATACCCATTTCACCCAAGCATCATTCCTTAGCCATGGCAGGACCAGCTGCGCCTTCACATGCTTTTTGCTATCTCTCATTGTGGTGTGCTTGGCCTGCAGGCTGGGCTCCCGAAGACCCTCTCATGATACCCGTTGTGTACTCTACGCCGGTGATATTATACCCAAGTTATTGACAATGGGAGAAACATTCTGGCTTGGGATTTTATAGGGCATGGGTATATGTGAAGTTCCTGTCAAGGAATTTCAATCTCAGGAACTGCTATAAAACGACTACCTCTCCTTTCCTGATTACTAGAAGAATTTATTCTCTTCTTCAGCCACTCTCTCATACGCTCTTTTGCATTTTCTTGAAAGTCGTTCTCTTTTCCCTTCTTTTTTTTTTTTCTCTCGTTTATTGCTCCCCTGACCCTATACACTCATTATGACGGGCTTTTTTACCATTCTCTCCTTTTCTCTGGCGGCATTGTCTGTGACTAATGCCGCACAGATCTTAAGCGTCCCCAAAGGGGCTGAAGTCGTGCCCAATGGCTACATCGTGGTCATGAAAGATGACACCTCTCAACAGGACTTTTCTTCTCACCGCGTCTGGATATCTAGCATCCACCATAATATGACCCGACGTGGCCTTGATGGCGCAGGTGTCAAGCAGACATACGACTTCGACCACCTACGTGGGTACAGTGGTATCTTTGATGAGGACACTATAAAGGATATCTCAAACGATCCAAAGGTATGTGCACGTTCATCGGCTGTTTATCACCACTGCTAGTGTCCAAGTCTTACATTGTACTCATTCAAGGTTGCCTTTGTCGAGCCAGACGCTATCATCTCCCAGCATGTTGTAGTTCAGCAACGCAAGGCTCCATGGGGCCTTTCCCGTCTCTCTAACCGCAGAGGAGGTCGCAACTATGTATTCGACAGCTCTGCTGGCTCTGGCGTCTGGGCCTATGTTGTTGACTCGGGTGTAGACGTTCGCCACGCTGAATTCCAAGGCCGTGCTGTTTGGGGCTCGAATCTGG